GCTGCCCCACGCCGGGCGGGTTCCTGCTTTGGCTGAGCTTGGCCGGCTGCAGCGCCGAGTGCCACAAGCCGCAGGGCTCAGGGCAGGCCCGGCCAGAGCACCCGGGGACTCGGGCTTCAGCCTGAGCCGGTCTCGCCTCTCTGTTTGGGCCTGGTTGTCCAGAGTCTGGCACTCTGAGAGCCTGAGCAGAAAGGCAGCAGGTACCGGTGCTGGTGGGCAGCCGCGACTGCTGCGAATGCCGGGTTAATGCGTGCCCAGCACCACAGACTGAGCTGCCCCAGCAGGTGGGAATGGCAGAGCTCCCCAAAGCCTCGCAGAACTAATGAAGCCAAAGGTTTGGGTTTTGTGAGAGCTTTTGAGAAGAGTTCAGCCATTCTGTCAGTACTAGCTGAAATGGGCCTGACTGACCTGAAAGATTTTTGGGGAAAAGACACCTGTGCAATGTTGAAAAATCTCATTTTCTATTAAAAAACTGGAGTAACTGTACCTCAACCTGCTGAGACTTCTGTAAGTTGCTTTTAACCCATGAAATCACAAACAACCTCGAATAAAAGAATTAGTACATAGTGCAGTCTGTGCTCTTGCCACATGTGCTGCCTTTGTCAACTATGCTGTTACAGAGGGAAAAATATGAACCAAAAATTACTAGCATTTTCCTGTTGCCTCAAATACAAGGCTCTAGCCAGTGATGATGTCTGCTAGCAGTGGCAAGCTCCATACAGAACAGTGATGAAGCGACACTGGGGTTTCATTAGAGGTAGCTACAGAGAAAATAATTTAGAAAATAATGTGTTAATAATGAGAGGCAAACTTAACTCCTTGAACCCCAACAGCAAATTTTCCTTTCCTCTTAATTCACATAATCCTGTGGAACTCATGGGCTGCCCACTTACATAACTGGGAAAAGACACTTGACTGTTTTGTTGGGGTGTTGTTTGGTTTTTGTCTTTTTTTAACCTCTTGCTGGCTCCATTCTTCTGAACCAGACACAGAATGATGCTGTTCTTGATGGTGTCAAATAAATAGTGATACCTGAATGTGGATTTTTCCTAATGTGTTTCAGCGGATCACAAATATGTGGAATTTGACTTCCTTATCAATGGCCAGTTCTTGCGTATGCCACTGGTCACACACATGGAAATGGAAAATATCTCCACGGTAAGTCACACACAATTTCTCCCCATCTTGGACAGCAGAACAGACTTTGACAGTTTACTTCAATATTATTTAGGTATTACAGTGTCATCCTGACTAGGTGGATTTCCTTGCTCAGTTTTGCGTCTTTTCTGACTCCCAGGAGAATTCCCTGGATGTTTAAATCCATTCGGAACTGCAAAATTATTAGAATATGGGATTTAGCAGTGCAAGGAACATTGTTAGCCAAGCTGTTGTCTGTATACAGTTCAGAGGGGAAATTCGTGTCTTATTCAGTTCATCATTAATGTATCTTGACTCCTGCTCTATTAGTTACATTGCGGGATAATGAGGAAGGTTTGTATTACCTCTAGAAAATGCTGTGAAGTATTTTAGACATGAGTTTTATATGGGTAAATACAGAGGAAGAGGAACCCGAGAATAGTGAAATTTTGTGCTTTTGCTTCTAGCTTGCTATTAATAGTAATTTGGTAAAAATATGGAGAGCAATATAATTCAGACACTTTTTTCCTAAATAAATTAATTCCATTAATGTGGCAAAGCACTTGGATACCAAGATCTTTCCCCTCTAAACTTGTATATTAGCATCACACTACAGTTAAATATTACTGTTACTGATTTTAAAAAATAAAACCACACTAAAGTATTTTGTCTTGTGAGCTTAGGAAGAAGTGGTGGAAATAGAGTATGTGGAGAAATATATGGCCCCTCAGCCAGAGGAATGCATCTTCCATGATGACTGGATCAGTTCTGTTCAAGCCACTGAAGAATGGTACCATGCTAAGCCAGTTCTAAGTTTTGTCTTGCTTATTCCTGTTGTGTGCAGAGGATTCCATGGTGTCAAATGGAGTACTGTTCCCTCTCTTTAATATCTAATAATCTGGTTGGGGTTTTCCCCTCTTCTCTATGTTTTTATTTTTTTTTTCACCTGCCAAGTCAGTCAGCTACTTGCTTTTGTAAGCAGTTCTGCTTTAACACCTCTGTTCTGAGCTTACAGAGACTTTACTACAAGTAGAAAACAGGCAGGGCCACTGAACATGAGATACTGTTAATGCAAATGCATCATACAAATGCTGTTTACTATCCTTTCTCTCAAAGGACAGCTAGATTTCATTATCTCTTTAGCTTAAACCTTTGACTGCAAATGTGGCATTCATTAGCAACAAGTACAATAGTGTACCTTTATGCAGAGCTTTTATTTAAAACAAAACAAACCAACCGTAATTGTCCTTTTCCACTGTCTTTTCACATTTATTTTCCAATCAGCTAGGCAATGTTCCTATGTTAAGTAATGGTCTGAAAATGCTTTGGGATCCTCTAGCAACATACCATGAACAACGAATTATCTTTTGCTTTAAATGATGTAAGCAATCTTACGTCTCACCTACCAGAATATGCAGTACTTCCACTGCTTTTCTTATCAGCCAGTACTCCTAGCCTTGCGGTTGTAGGTTTTAATGAAGCTTTGCTCTGTAATAAAAAGATTTTTTACTTTTCCAAACTTTTTTTTTTCCCCAAAACACACAAAGTAGCAATTTTTTTAATTTGTTTCAGCTAACCAGTTACTGTGCTAATATTTTTACAATTTCCGGTTAAGGCTTTTTTTCATAAAAACACTGTTGGTTTTAAAGACAATGTTTCCAATTCTGTACCCTGCAGGATATTAACTGGCTGCTACGATCAGACTGCTCGAATCTGGTCTTTAGAAGGAAAATCCATCATGACAATAGCTGGGCATACAGAAGTAGTGAAGGATGTGGCATGGGTGAAGCAAGGTCAGTATATATATTAGGGGAGTAGTAATATTTTGATTTATTGGGGGAGAAATGTCAGCATTCATCAACCATTAATATTTAATTATCTAAATGCTACAATTAATTCGATCTGTCAGTGGTGTTAGAAATTAAGTAATGGTGTGAGTAAAACAGTCCTTTAACAGTAATGAGTATAGATGGTTTAACATGTGTGTTGTCTATCTACCTTGTAGCTGTCTTTAGCAAATATCAGTATGTGTATTTATATTCACTGTACTTGCAGGGTAACATGATGTAAACTGAGATATGTATGAGTTTCTATCTCTCTGCTATTTCTTCTTTGACTAGAATAATTACTATAAAGACTTTGGAAAGTGGAGTTGTGTGTGAGCATGACTTTTTTGTTCCTCAGACAGTTTATCGTGCCTGTTACTCAGTGCTTCTATGGACCAAACTGTCCTGCTATGGGAGTGGAATGTGGAGAAAAACAAAGTGAAAGCCCTTCACTGCTGCAGGGGACATGCTGGGAGTGTAGACTCCATAGCTGTTGACTGCACGAGAACTAAAGTAAGTGACCCCTGGAAAGAAACCTTTGTCTTCTAGGATGTTAGCAGCCCATATCTCAAAAATGATTTGTGTCCCTGCATAAGTACTAGTCATCATGTTCTTATGACTGACTGTGGTATTTTAACTGACACATTAATAAGTTTCCAGTCTTGTTACAAATGGTGGTTATTGAATGATTAGGAGTGGTATATCAACGATAGGCCATCTTCTCAAAGTGATGCACTTAACCTCTAAAAACCACAAAAAGCTGAAGGTGACTCTAGATAGGCACAAACTATTATACTGCTGTTTATTTCTAAGTAAATTTTACTTTTAATGCATGTGAATTTTGCATTATAATGAACTATTTTCAAATTTGACCTAAATTTTCACAGTAGTTTTGGTGGGAGAAAAAATTCCAGAGTGAAACTTGGAAAGAGCAAGTGATAGAAGAGGTCCTTTCCTTTTATCCAGGAATTCAACAGTTAAGAGCAGAAAGGTAACACTGCTCCCAGCCTGTCTCAATATCAGACAGGTTAAAATAAAACCTTTTGGTGCTGAAGGAAATTAAGTGATATTTCATAGATGTTTTTCCTGCAAAGGAAAGAAAAAAGAATCATTTGATCTATGCCAGAAATTTTTTTTTGAGGAGCCAAGCACTATTCTTCATTTATTATAACCCACTGGGTAATTTTTCAAGCAGAAAGTGTATTTAATATGGCTTACAAGGTCAGTCTGGATCAGCATTTAACAAAATGTTTCTGTTCATACAGTTCTGCAGTGGATCCTGGGATAAGATGTTAAAGATCTGGTCTGCAGGTAGGATAAGCGTAAGCTGGGGTTCCTGGCTCTCTTAAAAAACCCTGTACTTACAACCTGAAAGATGGATATCTTCAGATATCCACTTTTTTCCTTAAGAAAATTTGAGTCTGTAATATTAAAAGCAACATAGGTGGGTTTTTTGGGGGTGGTTTGTTTGTTTGTTTTTTGGTGGGGTTTTTTGCAAGCTTTGTAAGACTATACTTGTCTATATTAAGGTACTGGTTTGGTTGGTAACACAATTTCAGGTATGGTTATCAATGGCTTGCTGATGTTTAATTTATTCAGAACATAGTGCTTTGTATCTCTTTCATTTATTTTTAATGGATTTATACAAATGTGTAGATTTGAGTATAGATTCCTTCAAAACCAGAAGTTTGTGTGTTGTTTTCCTGTTCTATTATTAACATCATAATATAGAGGACAGTAAGATGATCAGGTCTTCTCTAGAAACGTAGACTAATCCCATTTGATCCGAATGGTTTTTTGTTTTTTTCACTGTTAGAAGTCATATTCTGTCAGTTTGGGAGTATGTATGTAGGTATTGTATCTAAAAGAAAATTGTGTTTATCACACACCTGAATTACTGTTGGGAATTTCCATGAGTAATGGTGGTCTTAAAAATTAATTGTGACTTCATTTTAAAACTGCACAACCTGCAGCAGACAGCTGAATTTGTACTCATTTTCCTCATGCGCAAAATAGAGATAATACCGATCTGATCAGAGGTGTAGCTTTAAAATATTCATGCATCACAGCCAGGTTAGGTACTGTAAATACAGGGTTTGCTTAATTGCTTATATGGAAATTTAATTAAAAACCATCTAGATCAAGTCTGACCATCTTCTGTCACAGTACCTACAGATGAAGAGGATGAAATGGAAGAAGCAGCTAACAGACCACGGAAGAAGCAGAAAACTGAACAGTTGGGACTAACCCGGGTAAGATGAGCTCCAGGTTTGTCTAGGATTTTATTTTAAAAATGTAGTCACAGAAAATAATTTCTTTGTTAAAAGTGACTCTGTGAATATGGTGGTATGTCTGAGGCTGGTCAGACACATATTTTTATTTGTTGAAAGAATAGATTTATCGACGATATGCAATCTAATCTCCTCTCATCTTTAAATTCTAGACTCCCCTAGCAACCCTCTCTGGCCACACAGAAGCCGTCTCCTCTGTGCTGTGGTCAGATGCTGAAGAAATCTGCAGTGCATCATGGGACCACACCATTAAACTCTGGGACGCTGAGACTGGAGATCTCAAATCAACTTTGGTGAGATCACTATACTTTAGCTGAACCTACAGACAAAGTCCTGCAATAAAAGAGGTTGTGCAAAAATAGCAGCTCCTCTCTTAGTTACTATTTTCTTTTCTGACAGACAGGAAACAAAGTGTTTAATTCTGTCTCTTACTCACCACTGTGTCGACGCCTCGCATCCGGGAGCACTGACAGACATATTAGACTATGGGATCCTCGCAGCAAAGGTGAGCTAAAAACATGTATGTTCTCCAAGTGTTTTTTTCCAAGTCAGAACTTCTCACTGTTGGGAGACATCTCACATACTGTCTTCTAGTCCCTCTGCTTGAAACAAAACATTTGGGGGCTTTTATCAAATACCAAGATTACGTCTATCTTCTGTAATCTGGTGCAAGATGACTTTTGATTTCTCACTGAATAATTTAGAAAACTAACTCAGCACAGCTTTTCTCCTTTTTTTTTTTTTAACTAACTAATCAATGTTCAATTGTGCAGTTGCAGGCCTGAATTTTTTTTTTTTTTATTACAGTTCACACTTAAGTTGGTCGGACCTTAATTAAAGTGAAATAGAAGTCACTTTGTTACAATATAGTGGTGTCCTGTCTGACAGGATTCCAGAGAACTTACTACTGAGCCTGCCAGATTTATTTCATAGACATGTTTACTTGTTTAGCTTCTATAACTCAGTTTAACAGTATTATCTTCTTATATGTTAATAATAAAAGCAATTTTTTGGTATACTTTACTTTTTCAAAAATATTTGAAAAGAGTTTAATGACAAGAAAATACATTTTTATAATTTTGATTTTTTTTTCTTACCAGAATTTGTGCAGTATATTTTTATTTGCTTTCTTTAAAGTTCACTTTGATTTTTGAAGTTAGAATTGCTGGTGGAAGAAACACTTACCTTGAACACAGACATGTTGCTGACTGCTTTTCTCACTGGATTTTGTATGCATCTTAAAAGTGCTGATTTCAATTGACATCTGCTGCTGTCTTTTCTCTTTTTCTGTTCAGATGGCTCTTTGGTTCTCCTGTCTCTGACATCTCACACAGGCTGGGTGACATCAGTGAAGTGGTCACCTACCCATGAGCATCAGTTGATCTCTGGTTCTCTGGACAACATTGTGAAGCTGTGGGACACAAGGAGGTAAAATAAACATGTTCTTCACTGTTCCAAAAGCACGTAAACTTACAAGGTCAGTTAATGAAAAAGCAAAAGCAGTCTGAGACATAAATTGGAAACTCCTGTGGCATTTGTAAAAACCCTCTAGGATTTAGGAATCAAACACATATAATGAAAGGTCTGCTAACCTTCCTCTATTTTAAGGAACAAAATACGTTCTCTAAGGAATGAGCCTAAAAGTGTGTAGTTTAACTCGATACTCTTTTCAGACCTTTCATTACAAATTTCAAAGCCAGGAAGTGGTTTGCAGTCAGAAGACATAAATGGCTTTTCTGGAAAACACATACAGTCGAGAAGCATCCACAGTTGCAAGAAACTGTTCCTAAAATGTAGATTAATTAAATTTCAGTCTCAAGGTAGTTTGCAAGCAGGAGCAAAATGTTGCTGCTTTTCTCTTTGGGGATGTAGGAGAGGTTAAAACTGATGTGATCAGCTGTGGATAAAGCAAAGAAAACATCACAGACAGTAGATATCTTTACTCTCTGAAGGTGTTTAATACTGCTAGACCACATCTGTTTGATAGCATCATGACAGTAATTTTTCCAGGGACCAATTTTGTTTTCTGTGATTGCTCACATAATTTCAAACGTGTGACTGTAACTACCTGTGCTTTACCAGTTGCAAAGCTCCTCTGTATGACTTGGCTGCTCATGAAGACAAGGTTTTGTGTGTGGACTGGACAGAAGAAGGGGTAAGAATCTGAGGAGCAAGTTACTCAATTTCTATGCATAGTGGTTAGGAAGAGAGCTAAAAGCAGTCATGGACTTGTTTTTTCCTTTTTGCTTAAAGATAGAATAGAACACGAAGTTTTATTTGTGCTGTGGTTGATACTAAGTAAAAGAGAAGGTGTTACTGTCATACACATCGCAGCACTTCCCCATGCTCATGTGCAAAGGATAAGGATGGGAATTTAAGCTCTGTAGCATTAAAGGGGTGTTACCCTGATATTCCAGACAAGGAGAGACAGGAGAACAGCACCACACCTCTTGTTCCAAAGGTGCTGTTTGCTGCCCTGCAGACTAAAGCAGCATGAACTGGCAGCTGGGACATGGCAGTACATGTAGATGCAGGGAACTATATAATCCTCTACAGCAAGCTGTTCTGCTACTGTAGTCATACACACATATATAAAATGGGAGAAAAACATTTTGTTAATGTTAAAGATTCTCAGTGTGGCTTCTCTGTAAAAAGGTGGGAAAAACTTAAGTTTTCCTGCAAAAACTTTGCCTTTAATTTTAGGAGGGTAAGAGACAAGGCTACTTCTGCACTTTTGATTCTGCGTTTTAGTCATGCACTAACAGTTCATTATTCATTACTCCTGCTTATGTCTTCAAAGGAAAGAAAATCTGAGTCCTCAACTTCTGTGTAGCTATTTTGTTTAGTTCTGATATTAATCACAGTTTTCTTTTCCTCTCATCAGTTGCTATTGAGTGGGGGTGCAGACAACAAACTGTATTGCTACAGATACCCAGCTACAGCCTCTGATGTTGGAGCATGAAGGTCAACAGCCACAAGATATATTTTTTGTTATTTTTTTTAAAGATTTTTGCAGCAGTCACTCTCTGTTAACATCCCTACACAACCAACACCTGAAGAAAGGTTTGTGTTACTCAGAGAGCTGTTGTTCCTGGTTTTTTGTATTGGTAACTTATATCCACATTTGTCACAGAAAAATGGCAACAAGCAGTTATGAATGTGATCAGTGTGAAACAAAGCAAAGGGCATTTCCTCCCTTTCTGATGGCTTTGCATTAAAATCTTTTAAATGGCTATTTGTATAGCCCTTTTAATAAGGAGTAAACTGTTCTTGATACTTACAGAAAAATTACTCACTGGACTAAATTATTTTTTGCTTTACCTTGAAAAAAATAAAAGTTTTATCTACAGTTCATGGGTGTAGTGCCTCACTTCAGATAAAAATCAGGCTTCAACTCTCCTTTTAGCATTGCTGTTGGCAGTTATTAAGATTAGGTCCTTAACTGATGAACCTAGTCTTTCTTCTAGGATGAAGACTTCCTGTTTGCAGTGCAAATGGTATGATATAAAGGAATTTCGCAGATTAAATATTTCATTTTTTTGTTGCTAAGTTAAGGCTGTAAATTACTTTATAAGCATGTGCGTGCCTTGTGCCACAGTACATGTTATATTGCAGTACAACAAATGTGGCATCTTAGTCCTAAAAAGCAGCAGATATATAGAAACAAGAGGAGGATCACACAGAAAACACAGAAGAAAAATTAATTTGTTCCTAGAAAGAACGGATACAAAAATTGAAATAGCTTTTAGGCTGATAGAGGATAAGCACTATCCAAACATGCTCATTTTCTTTGCTGGTAGTCCCACTTTAATCAGCATTTAAATTAAAAAGCTATTACTTCAGTCTGTTAGATGTCATATATATGACGTTAAACCAGCCCACAGTTTAACAGTGTGGAAACCAAACTTGAATATCCTCACTAATGTCTTACCTTCCAATAAATGCAAGAATGGTACAGCACAATCAAGCCAAATGCTTAAAGTGCAAGATTAATAATTTTTCTTTGAAGTGTGAAAACTGACCTCCAGGTTTACAATATGGACAAGTTCTGAGTCAGCAGTTTAGGAAATACCAGAACAGCAAAGATGCAGGGGAAGGATCTCTGATCCCTTGGCTCTGCAAGCAACGTACTGCAACTAATAGACTAACCTTTATTTAACAAATGCTGCTTACAAGGAATTAGTTCTCTTGCCATCATCTTATTAAAGAACATGCATGTGGATAATATGAACTTCATCCTTTCTAAAGCAATATACATTATAAATACCTTAATATAGCAACTAATTATGTTTTTTTCTTATAAAACTTTATTCCTTTAGAACATTGCATTCTACTTGCTCCACAAACTGGAACGTGCAAACATGGTGTGTGTTCATGACCTACAGAGTAACTATTTTGTTTTGTAAACCTACCAAAAATAAAAAGCGTTTTTGAGCAGGAATTTAGTATGTGCTGGAACATGCAGCATTCCTTCCTCCTCACTATTACAAATTTGTACAATATCACATGCCCATTTGTGGATGTGCCAGTCTATTCTATCAGTCATTGGCCTAATACCCACAACAGTTTTAAAAAAAAAAACTCTAATAAATGTTCAGTATGAAGACAGAAGAGAGTAATATCCTCTTTAGGTAATCCTTAATCCCATATACCTGATTTTTGGAGGTCTTAACCAAGTTTAGCAATATTTTTAGTGGAATGCAAGACTGTGAAGAAGTTTGGAAACTAGTTTGCTTCATTTCCCTTCAAGATTCCCAGTGACCATTTAATCTAAAGTCTTGAGCTATTTTGTGTATTATAAGAAACATCCATTTTATTACTCTCTTTTTAGGGCTGTTTTTTTTTTTTTTTTTCAGAGAAATTATGCTTGAGCATAGTTTTTGGAATTACTGTGGTCTTTTGCAGTCAGCTGTGGAGCTACTCCAGCCAATTTAGCTGATAAAAAAGTGGGTTCTCTTACATGCATATGTCTAAAGACTCATTAATGCAGCATAGGTAACCTTAATCCAGTTTTCTTGTCTTCCCAGATAGATAAAATAGACCACATTTCAGAAGCAGGAGGGCTTGTACACCTTCCTCTCACCTTGGGTTCTCATTAGGGAAAGTTCTGTGTGTGACACAGAAAGATGCAACCAAGTAAACCATACTGACATCATGATTGATACCAGCATAAGCGCAACATATATTTGTAATGCATCGGTATTACCACTGATATAAAGTGTCCCAGAACATACAAAAATACTTTTTATATTTGGCTGATTGACAATTCTTAGGATAATCTGTCATCAAAATATTTTAGTAAGAGTATTTGTTTTGCTCTACACATGCAGTTCTTTCATTTAAAATAATGATGTGAAATTAGAATGGACAGTTTGAATCCCTGTCCCATAAACTGCATGAAATGAGTAGCTTTTCAGTTGCCAGTGAGAAGTTGGTTGAGTCTGGTCTAGGAAAGACAGCTGCTCAGTCTGGATGAGACTACCAAGCCATCCAAATCAAGCCATTTACTGTATGGAATGCTGAAAACATAACTTAAACCACAAAAAATTCTGTATCGGTTACAATATTCATATTCAAAACTTCAAAATGTCAACTTTGCATATATTTGCAATTTATTCCATGGGGCAACTAGTAGCTTGTGACCTACAGGGGATCAGTATGAGTTTAAATGTCTAAAACTAAAAAAAAAAAAAAAAAATCAAAATAAATGCTCTGTGATTGCTACTGAGACTTTCAGCTTATAATATAAGCAAAGAAATGTCTTTAAATGGTTTAAACTATCTCTGAATGCAAAGCAGAATTAATGAAAAGCTGTATGGAGATATATGGCAATTTATTTTTTTTATTTTTTTTATTTTTTTTTACAGCAAAACATCTCGGTCTAAATTGCCTATTGCTTATCTCAAAGGGTCCCCCTCATCACACTTTCTGTTGTCTATGGTCTATAAATTTAGAGTAGGGAAGTTCTGATTTTCGGTCACACCACAGCTGCTGTAAACTGAATGTGAAAGACAGCTGAGATCACCTTGAAGAGCATTTGGGAAATGGCAACCAATTTAATTGCTCTCCTTTAACTGCATCCCAGTTACTGAAAAACATTTGAGTTTGTTGCACACACACGGACACACAGAGCTGTCTCATTAATTTCTGCATACAAGACAGGTCAAAAGACCAGCCAGTGCCCAACAAGATGCATCAGAAATACTGGAAATGGAAACAAGCTCACCAAAGGAAGATGAATGGTAACATCTGATACAGAGATGGATACCAAATCAGAGATAAACCTAGGGATCATAAGCAGTGTCAGCATGAATTTACATGTAGAATATGAATACATGAAAATGGCATAATTTTTCCTGCCACTAACAAGTACCAGTAACTTTCAACAAAGCAGTCTGGATCATTTTCAGACACCCAAAAAATGGTATCTAGTGTTGAAATTGCATTATTGTTTTCTGAATCTATTCAGTACCAAAGAAAAGGACTTTCTTAAATTATTCTCCACTCTAAAAAGTGCCGTTACCATGTCTGTGCACATATCCCTGCATACGCTTAACATCTGGTGGAACAGCTTAGCAGTTGTGAGTTTACTGCATCAACCAAAGTGTCACCGTAGAGTTTGCCAGCCAGACCAGCAATTCCTTCTGTCACATAGGACTTGTCTGGGGATCAGGAGGATGACAATAACAAAGAAGCTACACTCTCCTTTTTTAAAATACTTGCAACACTAAAGGCTACTGGGTGACATAAAACCTTCATTTGTGTGATTCTAAGCCTGAAGGCACTTTGCTGATCAAACAGTGGATGTAGACATCCAGAAGCATCTGCTGAAAACATGTACTTTGAACAAAAGCCTGGAAGGTGTGGCATGGGTGTGCATTAGCCAGAAAACTTGTTCATGCTATGATGTGCTTTGGATTCACAACAAACATCTGCTTTCTTATCTCCCCCGTTAAAGTAAATATAGCAATTTGCTTTCTAATTTTAAAAACATAAATTTATATCGATTTCCCATCCTTTCCCTTCTCAGGTTTTGCATCAACTTTAGCCTGAATCTGGGAAGGTTCAAACAAATTTGGGAACTACTTTTGATCTTTAAATTAGGAAAAAAAAAATAATCAAAAAGTCAAAATCTGACATAATTTTACTAAGCTCCATCAGGGACCAGAATCTGTTTGTGTGCTTGTAAGATCACAGTGATCTTTGACTCCTGCACTCTCACTTCCAGATGAGAGATTTTACCTCACAGATCTTGGATTGTTAGTTCACTATTTTGGTGGACTTCATACATAGGATGAAGTTTTGGAATTGCTAGCCACAAGTTTTTAATACTTGGAACAGGGATCAAGTATAGTTCTTGGTGTTACACAAAAGATCTTTCTTCCACCTTGCATCAACGTGCAAGTGGCCCTCTTAATATAGCCACAGCATTTAAAAGAATAGTAAATTAAATAATAAGGTTTTGCCTTTAGGTTTAAGAGCATATACAGACCCTCAATGCATAGTCTCTGCTGCTTCTCAGAAAACTGCACTATGGTCAGTAGTTATCTTCTGCAGCTAAAATACTAACCAAAATGTCTCCTAGAGCTGAACAGCACAGATTTAAGCAGATTCTGGTTTCAGTTACACTGCTGTAAGACAGTGAAGCCTATCAAAATCAATGGACTTAATATAGATTTACAGAGGAGCTTATCTAAATGCAATTTACAATAATTAGATCTTGTATCTTGATGTAGCTGAAAATTGAGTAAGAACCAGTTTCCAAAAAATCAAATATTGCATGTCAGCAAAGCCTTTTCGGGGAGGAAATAAATAAGATTTGCTTTCATAGTAACTAAACTTTGGAGCAGAATAGGGAGGGGGAGAAGATGATGGTGGTTCTCCCCTTCTAATCCAATCTGTTTAAACAGAGGAATCAAAACAACAGATGTTTAGTATGAAAAAAAAGCTGCCTGAGATACTGGCACCACAGAATCCAGCATGAATTCACCAAGGATGAGAAGGTGAGGAGACTGCAGTTGCCCTATTTCAGTTATATCAGTCTCTAGTCTTGCTGTGATTTAAATGTCCAAGTCCAGAATGTCATGTTAAAGAGGCCATCATTTTTACAAGGAAAGCAGTTTCCAACCCGTGTGCTGTCCCACCATGCACCATTCTGAATCTCTACAGTATCTATAGTATTGTTTGCTAGATGTAAAC